GGTGTGTTGAATAAAGTTGGAGCTAAAATCTCGGCCCCTCCAGGACCGAGTTTGGACACCCCTGGCCTAGGTCCTTAGCATTGCCACTGATATATTTATACAGTAACAAGCACTGCTGTAAATTTGTTCAGTTTTGTTGAGGACATTTTGGTTAGCTATTGACTCTTCATTGCATCTGTATTTGTGGTACTGTATCTAGAGATTCCTCAAGTGGTTGTCATGACCAAAGTGGATGAAGCATGTCCTCTGGTCAAAAGTAATCTAAGAAAGGTCTACACAAGCAAGAAGATCAAAGAGAAGGTATGTGGCCATCCAGAGACATGCACGTGTTTCGCTTTTTTAAACTGATTTACTGATCTCTTTCTGTGCAGATGGAGCTGTGTAGTGCCAGCATCGGTGTCCCTATGACAAACATCTTCCCAGTGAAGAACTACCATAATGAGATTAACACTAATAATGATGTTGATGTTCTGACACTGAAAGCTCTTGAACAGATTGTTCAGATTGCCAATGACAGATTGGATGATAATGAATCCAACTGAAACAGTCATCTGAGTAGGATAAAATGTAAATAGCTGAGAAGGAAAATAGTCTTCGTAACTCACAAGAGGGTTGTTTTTTTGTGTGTTATTTCATACATATACTTTAATTGTTTCAATAATGCATATATTCAGCGTGATCTCAACATTAATAAAGGTACCTGAAGATATATGTACACTGAATCTGGAAAAAAGTGTACATCAAGTGTCATCAACTGTTTTGAAAGTCATGCTGAAATAAATTCATTTGCTACTTGGCATTGCATCTCTGCTCTTATTTGCAAGTCTTCTTAACCTGGTATTGTTTTGCGTTGGTTCTTGTTGGTTTGGATTGACAGTTGTTCATTGTTAGCACTCCTCTCCTTGTCATAAATAATCTGCATTTAATTTGTTATGGCAGTTGGAGACATAAACAGCATGCATAATCTTCCCTCATTCACTCAGATTACTATAAAAAAAGTGTATCAAACTGTTCTCCGGGGGTTCGCTTGGATTTCATCCACATGCTCCAGTCAAGAAAGTAAAGAAGAAAGGTGGGTACTAAGATATAATTTGATTAAAATTCAAAGATTTAGAATCAAATCCTAGTGTATTTTATACAGCAAAAAATGTATATTTCCTTACACTATATGAGCCCAGCCCTCACAGGAAACATCTGGCAAGATTTGAAAGTAAACAACCCAATTAAGTATGATTTGTAAGTGTTTCGAGTTACAAGGATACACTGTAAAAATGCAGAGTTCCACACAATTTATTCACGTTGTCCCAACACGAATTAAGTTAACTTAACACTTTGAACAAATTTGTGTAAATTAAGCATAAACATTTAAGTTGTCCCAAAGAAATCCCAAAGATTTTAAATCAACAGTTTAAACGAGCAAAAAAATGCATTTTTTGAGTGTAAAGGCCCTCGTAAACCACCTTAAAGGCGCTGAATGTACATTTCTGACTCTTCTAAATCATAGAAATACCATAGAAAATCATAAAAAAATAAACATAGAAATAATATGTTTTATATATTTAAGAAAGATGATAAATAAATGTATCTGTTTATCTAAAAAACTCTTTTGAAATGTGCATTCCGTGTGCGAAGTGAAAAAGCGCATTACCTATTTCAACCACATGGTGTCACTCTTACACATTGCATCTTTAACAATGCAATACTTTTTATAAACAGTGTAATGCATAGGTTATCATAACCATGTCACGATACGATTTTGTCCTTGTAAGCCAAATAACCAGAACACACACATAGGAATACTTTGTAAAAAAATAAAATAATTGTTACATTTATGTTTATTGTCTATATATCCTGATAAGCATCATTTCAAGCATTCAATTCATTCATTCATTTTCTTGTCGGCTTAGTCCCTTTATTAATCCGGGGTCGCCACAGCGGAATGAGCCGCCAACTTGTCCAGCAAGTTTTTACGCAGCGGATGCCCTTCCATCCGCAACCCATCTCTGGGAAACATCCACACACACATTTACACACAAACACTACGGACAATTTAGCCTACCTAATTCACCTGTACCACATGTCTTTGGACTATGGGGGAAACCGGAACACCCAGAGGAAACCCACGCAAACGCAGAGAGAACATGCAAACTTCACACAGAAACGCCAACTGAACCAGCGACCTTCTTGCTGTGAGGCGACAGCACTACCTACTGCGCCACTGCGTCGCCACTTGGGAAATATTTAAAAAAGAAAAAAAATCAAAGGGGGACTAATAATTCTGACTTCAACTATAACATTTTAAACAATTTACACGCACATATTAAACTGAACTTAAACTCTGAAAACTGGACTGAAGCAGTTTCAATTTACTACTTTTGTTAAGCTGCTCTGAAAGCTTTATAGGAATAAAGACCAAGTGAATGTAATTAAACTATAGATCTCTAGTTTTCACTATGCATCAGTCAGCCATCTTTAAAAGCAGAATGCAAACAATGCCACTGAACCGAACAAAACAAAAAATGATCACTTTCATGTTTTTACATGTTCTAACTGCTCAGACCTGACTTTTTGAGTACTACAGACTGCCCAAAGTTATAACAAATATATTCAATATACCATAAATGTTCAAATATTACAACTTTTCCTGCTTGATAAGTGCTTAAATGTGTCATTTAGAAGCTTACACCTGTTTTCCATGGTTTAGACCACATAAAAATGAGCAACAATATTCAGTATAGATTATTGTGCAATCCATGCTATAGTTTTACATCTGAGTATCCATGCTTAAGGTCTCTTCCTATTAAACTCTATGCATGTCTGTTGGCATATTTGTTATTTTAACGATAATCTGTTTATTTCTTTAATGCTTCTTTGATGCTAACTATAAGAAGACACTAACCAGCTCTAAATTCTACATTGTTGTCCAGGCGGAAAATATATATATATATATTACATAAATGTGCCCTGCTATTATTATAGAGAAAGGAAAGTTATGTCATGTGGCCAAGCATGGTGATCCAGAGAATTGGTTATTCACTCATTCACCATCTACAATCCGTCGGTGGGGCTTAAATACTGGATCACAAGTCCAACTCTGACCATTAGCCCAAAACATTTTACACAGACCTTTGCACAGTAAGACTAACCCTCAGCAGAAAAAATCACAGGTAGAATATTTGATCTTGTTTGTGTCGGATTTATTGCCTATTTGTGCTGAGCCTAAGTGAACTTTTTCATCAGTAATTAATTTCATTGACAAATTGGTCCAGATAGATAGAATTGAGAACATTTGTTAGAATTGTGACAAATCTAAATAATCAGCTATGTATATATAAAAGATGTCATAAATAAATGCATGAAAATGATTACATAACCAGTCTACAGTGCATAGTTTACATATAAATAAGTAACTAAAATGTTTAAATAACCATATTTATTCACAAATAGATTTCATGTATATTTTATTGTTACTGATAATAATACAATTTGTTATTATATAACAAATATTAATAATATATTTATTTTTGTTTCTATTGAATGATAAAATATACAGTTTCTTACCATTTAATATTATGTTAATAATAATAATAATAATAATAATAATAATATAATAATAATGATGATGATGATGATGATGATATTAATATTATTGTTGTTACTGATAATAATAATAATAATAATAATAATAATTTATTGTTTTTTATTAAATCCTGAAATAAATATACAGTTTATTACAATTTAATATTATTTTATTATTAATAATGATATTATATGCGGTGGCCCAGTAGGTAGTGCTGTCGTCTCACAGCAAGAGGATCGCTTGTTTGAGCCTTGGCTGGGTCAGTTGGCGTTTCTGTGTGGAGTTTGCATGTTCTCCCCGCATTCTCGTGGGTTTCCTCCGGGTGCTCGGGTTTCCCCCACAATCCAAAGACATGCGGTACAGGTGAATTGGGTAAATTGTCCGTAATGTATTTGTTTGAATGAGAGTGTATGAGTGTTTCCCAGTGATGGGTTGCGGCTGAAAAGGCATCGGCTTCGCTGGATAAGTTGGCGGTTCATGCCGCTGTGGCGACCCCAGATTAATAAAGGGACAAGGCCAAAAAGAAAATTAATGAATGAAGAATCACTATTATATTTTTTATTATTATTATTAACATGAAAATTATTAATATGAATAATATTAAACAATCTACAGTACATAGACTACATATAAATAAATAACTAAAATGCTTGTATAATCATAAAATGCTCTATTCACAAATATTGTATGTGTATTTTATTATCGATAGATTATTTGTTATTGTTTCTATTAAATTATTAAATAAATGCACAGTTTATTATAATTCATTTTGTTTTTTCAGCTTAGTCCCTTTATTAATCCTGGGTCGCCACAGTGGAATGAACCGCCAACTTATCCAGCATATGTTTTACGCAGCGGATGCCCTTCCAGCTGCAACCCATCTCTGGGAAACATCCATACACACTCACACACACTCAATCACTACGGACAATTTAACCTACCCAATTCACCTGTACCACATCTTTGGACTGGTAGGGAAACCGGAGCACCCGGAGGAAACCCACGCAAATGCAGGGAGAACATGCAAACTCCACACAGAAACGCCAACTGACCCAGCCAAGGCTCGAACCAGCAACCTTCTTGCTGTGAGACAGCACTACCTACTGCGAAACTGCGTCACTAGCCAGTTATTATTATTAATATTACCATTAATATGTTTGTTATTGTTTTTATTGAATCATGAATTAGATATACAGTATAAT